CGGCCATGCGCCGTTGGTCTAGTCGAGTTTTGGAGGTGTAGCTATCATGGACACCGTCGTGCGGGTTGGTGGTACCTGACTGCCTGTCGCAAAAAAGAGCTCGAGATCCAGACGGTCGAGAGTCTGTTGCACGTGTGACGCTCGCAAGGGTCTGACAAGTCCCTGCCAGACACGGCGGCATTCTTGACGCATACGTGAATTCTGAGAAGAAGAACGATATGGAGATCTCATACACCTTCTCCCCGATATGGCAAGGAGAGGTCGAAATTAACGTTTTAGATCGAAGCGACATGGTCAAGGTAGCATTGTGCCTGAACGATCCTGCAATCCCTAAAGCTAGCTGAAAGACTATGATTTGAGCTTCTGCTCAAGACGCTCGAGAGCTTAAGCTTCGCGCAGTGTCAAATCGACAGCTGTATTTACTATAAAAGAAGTTTTTCTAAGACCACGATAATAGTTGTGATGTTTATGGTATTTGGTGACAGGCATGAACACGGCCATGATTACCAAATCTTGTAGTACATGCACGTGCTAGAGGTGAAAAATCTTGGAGTGGTGTAGAGGTTTCTGGACATGAGAGCGACTTACAAAACGTTACATAGTATGATATGAGCAGGGACAGTGCGTCGAGAACCACGTAGGACAATTCGACTTGATCTATCAAACCTTGCAAAAGCACCGATTGATTGGTGACGATCAAGAAAGTGAAAGCGAAGGCAAAGTTTTACCCGGAGGAAGTGGCGGAACAATTGGTCAACCGACCGTAGACACGTTCCAATCGTCGATTGGAAGCCTGCTGTAGCTTCAAAGCTGCACGGATCTGGCATCGCGCGGCCATGCACTGAGCCAGCCGACGAGCGCATTTGCCACGCGATTGGTGATGAGCTGAGCGGATCGTCAAGTATCCGAAAGGGACCTAGAATTTATTGTTCTGGATAAAAGATGACGACGAAGAGGCCAAGGATGGATGGGTGCAATTTATAGGTTACAGCAACGCCGATTGCCACAGCGTACCGCAAAGATCGTAAGTCTGTGAGTGGTGACGTGTTGTGTGTTGACAAGTTGATGGTGGGGTGGATTTGCAAGAAACAAGCAAGCGTGGGTCCATCTACGATTGGAGCGCATTGTGTCAGGGCTCGCTAGTTACAAGTGAGCTACGGGGAAACTGTGAACTACTTGATGGGCGAATTAAGGTGGAAGCCCCAATGTGATTGATGTCGACAATCTGGCGGCGATCAAGTTGATCACCGGCGAGGATAGATCATAAAGATCGAAGCACATCGCAGTGTGGCACAAGTTTGTATAGAATACAGCAAGAAGGCGTGTCAAGGTGATGTATTGTGAGTCTAAAATGATGCAGGCTGACGTTCTCGTCATGACAGTCGCTGCTTCGCGGCTACGCGAACTGCACAACATAGTGTATCTAGTATAGTGACATACCTAAAAGGAATGTTGATCCGGATCGAACCCAACGACGGCGCGACTCTTAGGACACAGCGACTACCGGAGTGCAACGTCTGGTCATTAACGAGATGACTGGTATGAAGTAGGCGACAGTTGGCTGCGTGCACTAGGGAGTCGCAGGTAACGTGCGGGTATGAGCGTGGTGGGACAATGTCGATCAGTCTGAGATTTTGGTCATACATCAGATCATTAAAGCTCACAACGAGCTAGAAAAGTCTTACGAACTGCATGGACTGGAAGAACACGACAGGATAACGACATCCTGTCGTGCTCTGCTGTACCGGATCTATATCAACCAATATTGGACGCGAAGCTCCATTGTACTAGCGTGATATTGTGCACATATTTGCGCTGAGCTAATTATAGATAGGATTGACTGCACGTTAGAGCAAGCGGTGTAACTGGTTCACATGGCGCTGAGAAATCGATATGTAACGTCCCGCTTTCCAATACTTGTGGGATGCGCACCAGCTTGTTACTTCAGAAGCCAGCTTTGCTCCACTATCCATAAAAAATGGCTGCGATGGTTCTTTATCGCGAACGACATCGACTGAGATCGTCTACTCGATAAATGAAGCAATCGAAGCTAGCAAGCGTGAAAGGCACATCAGCTGTTTCTCTCAACAAGCATTGTTGGCACACTGCTTCAGAAGCTTTAGCTACAGTGGTCCTCCGTGCCGCCACGCCGATGCTGCTTGCTATAGCGACGGAGAATGATGGCTGATGCACCATCGCCGCGCGACCGTTAACGACCTGATGAGACATAAGCGGGTGCTATTTCAATACCAACATGCGCTCTATGCTTCTCGGCACCTGCACATGAAATATGAGGTGCTAAGTACCCCGGACGCCAAACTCTTATCCTGCACCTAGCTACCAGCCTGGGTTTTTCGTCTAGGTTAACCATAGCAGCTGGTTGGCGACGTCGAATGCAAAAAGACCTGGTGCTACAATCGACCATTCACTTACAATCCCAGGTATCGACTAGACACGCCTTTGGCGAAGATGCATTTTTCTTTTGGCAACGCAGTCAAGAAATGAAAGCCTTCAATGTAGTGCGCTTCGTGATACGATGAGCACAGAGTTGCCCAACGACCTTGCTGTGGAACAAAAGGCTTGATGAAGCCTCTGCCTATCTGTGGCTATCATGCATGAATTGCATCAGCTTCTGGAGATGGTCTGCGACCTTTCCCGCAGTAAGTTTGCTCGAGATTGGATATCGGCTTAGGTTGCCTAAGAAGCAGTTCTCGCTGCACATACCGAGGATGTTTGGCCCCATGCAGTGAGGTTATCTCCACGACAATTCACTGCGCCGGCCACTGGCTGTTTATTTGGTTGGGCTTCACACATGTCGGTGATACGAAAGGTGTTAGAAAGCGCATGCACCACATTCCCTCGACTTCACGTGCTTTTTCTCATCCATCTACTTTTTACTGTCTCGCTCATTATTGTCCTATGCTCTTAGCTCGCCAATGTCAACATGAGCATCATCAATCAGTTGCACGAAGATGTGTATCTGCCTTTGCTCGTAAAGTCGTCACTGCAACTCACATATGGGCCGAACAAAGCGCTGTTGTCGGCTATATTATCAGTCTCTAGCATTTGTGCCTGCAGAATGACGCAGAGCGAGCAATACGTGACTACTTTTGTGTGGAATACGAGCCGACAATAGTCGTTTGAGCAGCAAAGCGGCTACGTGCGGCCCACTGGCGCTCGCTTCTCCTTTGTTCGCTGCTGGCCGTGAGCAATCGCCGACACACAAATGACACACAAATGGCAGTTGCCGATTGTCGCAAGTCGGTGGGTTTCGATCCAGTCTAATGTTGCTCTAATCGGCACCAATTATCCGCATCGGCTATCGCATTTATCGGGTGGGATCATTTCTAAACGCGCCATTCGAAACGCAGCAGTAGCGTCAGCCAGAAACCCAGTGAAGAATTCATCATGATGCCTCGCAGCCTCTTACGATCTGCCAGCGGTCTTGCCACCTCGCGCGTGGCGCTGCGTCCGCCGTCGGGCGTGCGTTACTTCCGGAAGAGTGCGTTTGGCGTCCGCACAGCTGTGTCTCGTTGTTTGCACGAACACGGCCACTAACGTGCGTGATTTCTCACTCTGTCTCTGATCTCCTGCTGATCCATCTGCAGACGTTCCTACAAAGTACACGGAGAACAAGGAGCTTACAGGACTGGCGGGTGTCCTACAAGGTACGTCTTACTCTCCACCTTCTCCTCCTTCTCCTCCTCCTTCTTCTTTGCTCTCTCTCTCTCTTGCTTGCTCGTGTCTCAGTACTTACTGCTGTGTGCCACACTCGCAGCTGACAACCACGTGCTATCGGTCAAGCTGCTGCACTTGACGAGTGTGAGTCTCATGGCTGCCGTCCCGCTCGCTTTCGTACTGAGTCCGTCGCCGTTGGCTCTGCCCGTGGACTTGGCAGTCGGTGTGCTCGTGCCTGTGCACGCGCACATTGGCATGAACAATGTCATTTCGGATTACGTGCCCAAGAACGTGCGCACGCTGGCGCGTCTAGGCTGGTTGGGTGCCACGTCGCTCATGCTGTTGGGTCTACTGCGTGTCAACCTGGAAGGTCCGGGCATCACGGAGGTGGTCAAGACTATTTGGCGGGAGTCGCCCAACAAGAAGAAGCACGAGGCGTAGCTCGTTGCAAGTTGCGTTCGTTCATTGAGAAGAGACGAGACGAGACGTAGCGAGCGGCAGGAACCGTAGTCGACGTGCGACTGACCTTGAATGAACTGCCCACTCCACTGTGCTCTTGTCGCCTTTCGTTGACTAGTCAGATGCGGACGTCCGAGTTGCTACAGACGGTAGCAGGAGCGTCGCATGGCCGTCCAAGACGACGACGTCATCGCTTCCTTTTGTGCACACGGTCTCGCACTCGACGAACCGTCGATTGACTTTTGTGACGCGAATGCGAGCCGTCACTTGTTCGTCCACGAGCAACGGCCGTCTCCAGCTCAGATGCTGCTGGACGTAGACTGCGCCCGGCACCGTGCGGCCGAAGATCGTAGCAAAGAGACTGGCAGACAAGAGGCCTTGGACCAGCGGTTTGCTCGCTGCGGCTACTGCGCTTGCAAACTCGGCGTCGACGTGCAGCGGGTTGTTGTCGCCCGAGAGCTGCGCAAAGGCGCGCGTGTCCTCGAGCGAAAAGACGTGCGTCAACTGCGCCTCGACACCGACGGCCGGCGTAGCTCCTGGGGCGAGCTGAAGAGCAATTGACAATGCGTTAGGCAGTAGGTAGGGAAAGAGAGATAGACGTACGCATGATGCGCTACGTGTCAGTAGGGACCTTAGTGAGGTCTCCTTCGACGAGGAAGCGGCTGCGGGACCCCAACGTGCTGAACGACGCGGCGGGCAGCGATCGAGCGCGTCGTAGGCGCATCGTTTGTGGGTAGTGTGGACGCACACCGATTGGCGCAACAATCGAGCAACACGCATGGGATGTGGCGTTCGTTGGTGTACACGACACAAACTCGGGTGGCTGGTGTGGTCGATACCTCCTCGCAACCCAGTGGAGGTCATGCGGCGGCTGACAACTGCGACATCTGCGTCGCGCCTGTCGCGTCTGTTCCAGCAGCAGCCCATTGGTACGCGCGTGCTGGTGTATGTTGCCGATCATCGGAATGCGTTGTATAAGCGTCTTGGCGGTGTGTAACGAGTTCTGATGGGCCGTCCTGGGGTGTCTATGATAGAGGAACTGCTGGAGCTCCGAAGCATTGTAGCTGTTCAGGACCTCGTAGCGAAGATCTCGGATGACCCTGTCCCGCGCCGTCTAAACGAGAACAATGCATACGTTCAGTGGGTCCAGACGCATCGCAGCAGCCAGTCTTTGACGGGGCAGATGGACAAGACAGCCTTTGACGCGTTTGTTAAGGACGTCAGTGTCTACCTCCAGACTATAGAAGCGGAGGCGTGGCAGGAATGTGGCAAGATTGGACCGATGGAAGAGGAAGAACTCGGGGGTCACAAAGCGGACGAGTTTGTTGAGGCAGTGAAGCTGAAGATGGCAAGACACATGTGCACGCAGACTGCAATGAGCTTTGAGCTGTTGGACAAGGACAAAGACGGTGTGCAATGTTCCGTATGTTCGCTAGCTTCTGTAGCAGGTCTGTAACTTATACGGAGGTTGTGTAACCTGTTGTGGGCAGGAAAGGTTTTTGTTGACGAGGTCACGAAATTGCTGCAAGTTGTTGCGCACGGTAACGGAACGAAATGGCTGAAGAGTAAGTTCCATCGTTCACGTTGATGGTTTTGTGAGACTTTCGCTTACGCTGCTGTGGAAGTAGGCCAGTTTGACTTGTACGACGCAGACGGCGACAATGTTGTTGACGAAGCCGAGTCAAGGCTCATTTTAGATTCCATGATTACGACGCAAAAGGCGGTGATGGCCGATATTTTTGCGACTCGCGTAAGCTGTACTATACTCTTTGTGGCTCTTGTTTTACCTCCGTCAGCATCGTTGATAAACAAGGTGTATTTGCTGCAACCAGGTGAACAATATGCCGAAGAAGCACGAGAAACTGTTTGCCAAAAGTGTGAAAGAAGAGGATTTCCGATCCAAGATTCCAGAGAAGGTGCGATGCGTGTTCCACTTTGCTAACAAGTTGGACAAGGAGCGCAAAACATACGACTGGGAGCTTTTCGAGGATTCGCAGGTAAGGCTGTACTTGTGTGGCACAGCGCGAATGACCTGTATAACATTGTGTGCACTCTTTCTCGGTGCCAGAGAGCTGAGTTTCCTGAATTGCATAACTTGCTCACCGTCTACGCAAAGGGCTTCTATACCGATAGGTAGAAGCATGAGCTCAAGCTGGCAAACAGTGGTTTGCATGTAGTTGTGTGCTAATCTTGATCGTGAACGTATCGCTGGCGCAGATTCATGTTCTACGAGCGCAAGCAGGAGAGACGAAGCACGCGGTACAAGGGCCTTCTGCTTGCAGCTGCCATTGGTATGGGCGACTACATCGCTGCCATGATATAGATAGGCTGCGGCGTTGGTACGAAGGGAATGTGCCGTCAGCGTCAACAACGCATCTCGCCTGCCTTAAGGCTTCTCGAATACAACGACATTCCCATGTTTGTCGCGAAGGAGAGCGGTATCCATATCGAACGAATATACCCCATGCCGTGGCATGTGCGCTGCTGGCTTTGCGCGTATGTAAGTGAACGGGCGAGCGTCACAATGATGCAGTGCACGAAGATGTGGCGCTGCGTCCCGTGCATAAGCAGCAGGCAGTAAAAGATCGTTTCGTCAGGTGCCATGTGCAGAGAATAAAATAATCGCCGTTTGGTCTTCGGCTTTCTGCACGTGGTCGTTCCGCTCTTTACACAACTCGTGCGGAGCATCTTGTCCCGTCTCCCCCTCCCAAAGCAAGATCAACACCGTGATCCAAAGCTTCTCGCCCTTGCCAACATGGATGACAAGAGAGCGCCGAAACTTGGTCTCGTCATGGTGCAATGTTTCGAAGAGGTGTTTGTGGCCGCAAAGTAAACACAGTACGCAAATGATGCGTGTGGATCAACGGACGCGCTAATGGTCGTATGTAGGAAGGAGCCACTCGATCGATGATCGAATCGCTTGATCGGTATGATACAAAGCTACAGCTCTTGCCTTCGCGCGGTGTATCTTGCATCCGTCCAACATAATGCGTACGAAGCAAGTCAGCCGCTGCGCTACTCCATCGCTAGGCAGCAGAGACTAAGTTAGGATGCACGTCGACGTCTTGTCATCAAGTGACGATTCACAATGCTTCCAATTCTTACTTCCGCTATCTTGCATGCGCCGCCGGAAGCTTGTGCACATACGAACCGTGCACTGATGGCGGAATTGGACCAGCACGTGCGTGACCACCTGCTGCAGTACCGAGCTCGTCCGCCATCAACTTGACCTTGGGGATCGGACAAGTGCCTCATTAGGGTTGCAAGGTAATGCGTATCAGAACGTCATCTATTCAGCTTCTCTGGTCCATATAGACATCATTGCAGCTCATGCTCACTTATCTCCTCCTGATCACCCACCACTATGGAGTGTCAGTGTAAAGCTGTTGCAAATCCACTTTGCGGTGGGCCCACTGGCAACACTTTGTGGCATATAAGCGCAACGATCTCGGACAGTATGGCAACAAGCTGTCATTCTCTTTGCTCAGAGTGCCGACAAATCAGCTCACGTGCAGCGCGGAATGAACGATTGCATGCCACATTATCAACTCGGCAGACGCGGATAGCTTCACATGTAGTACCCACGCGCCTTATGGCACAACAAAATCACGACTTCATATATCTTTGCCGGACAAGAAGCAGGACACGACCATCTTGTGTCGCCATCTATTGCCCCGTACCAGATACAGAACGTGAGCTGAGGTTGATGTGGCGTCTTCGTTCCTGCATTCGTGTGTATCGTAATGTTTAGTCTCCATCTAAGAGACGAAAACCGTCGACGGCTTTGTACTTCGATACGTCAAGCGCGGACTACAAATGCCTCCCAGCACCTCTTCTTGCATTCTATGGTTAGGACAAAGCATGTGTGGCCCGATCGCAGGGTTGAAAAGGTACTGTAAAAGCAAAGCACGCTTTACGTTGTAAACAAAGTTGACACAAAGCTTTGACCTTCTCACACCCAAACATCGAGCGCAGTCGTGCGCGGCTCGCGTCGTCGAGCTGTCTATTCAGTCAACGATGGACGTACACAGCTGCGCTTACGTAGAAGCCGCTCATGACGAGCCGTCCATTCAGCCAAGAGTCATAGTAATGACAGCGTTGCAGATGATAGCAAACGCTGTCCAATGGAGCATATGGGAAGACCTTGTGTTTCCAATTCGGAATGCATAGTCTACTTTGCGAAAGTATCGTCGACAGTCTCATGCTGACAGGCTCAACAGTCTCGTGCTGGCTGATTCATGCGCCTAATCAACAGAGCTTGGTGAGCTTTGTATCTCTGTTTGATCCCGCAATAGACCTGACCGCAGCGTCAATATGTTAAAGATCGACCTGGTCTTCCTCTTGCACAATTTTCAGCCTTTTTTGACACGCCGGTCACCAATGTGCGCCCAGTTCAGTCCCTGTTTTTTTTCCCATAATGTCGATACAGCATTTGGTCGCCTGACGCCTCGGCCACGCTCAGGTTACCCCTCTTACATCGACGACCAGCCAAGATCTGCACAAGAAGCTAAATTCGGTTGTCTGCTTGACGTCAAGTGTGGCGTTGACCCGGCGCATCGAATTGCATGCTTGGCCTACCTCGGCTTTCACGCTTTTCCAGTGACACAGGTGATCGCTCTGGTACGATTGGCTTCGTAAATGCCTAGCGATGGCGTGAACGCCGATTGCTTTGCACATTCCTCCTTCGTGATCGCTTTTTGTATGACCGCTGAGTCGTTAGTCGATTGCAGGTGCTCATGAGCAGCCTGCAGCTACAATTTTGCACTACTCACTCGAACTCAAAGCAAGGTCTCAAATGTCAAATACAATCAGGTCGGCGGGAGAAGCACTGGTCATGAAGACGTGGATGCTGTGTACACTTTTGGCCGTCTTCTCAGTTCGTCGCTACTGTTGGCAAACGCGAAACTCTACGTCGCTCTATCCTCCACGCGAAAGCAATCATGTCGCATTCGTCGTTTTTCAGGTGCCTCCTTATCATTCCAGCACCCAGCGTCAGTCATGTGATCGCATGCGTACTAGCACCTCATCGATTGTCAAATTGGCTCTGTGCGGTCCTCTGCTTGGCCACTTAGACCAGTTGGTGAGGCGCTCGTGACGATTGCCACTGCACGTCAGCATGCAAGTGTGTTGCTTGCCATACAGCACTCCATGAGACTTTAATGCATCCGCTTTGACGCAAAATTACATGCGGTAGTCGAGATGTGTACGTAAACAGTGTTAGCGAAACCACTGTCCACCGTAGTTTCACGTCATCCAACACCATTCTACCTACTTGCAGTTTCAAGCGCTTGTGACGTGTGGAAACGCGGGGAACGACGCGGAGCTTGGACTGAAGCGGTGAAGCGAGTTAACGCCATCTGGAAGTATCTTCTTCCGCCAATGTCTGCTAGTTGAATTTCAACCGGTCGGCTTTTCATCATTGCAGCACGACTTGCGTGTCCAGGTTGGTCCGACGAAATGCGAGCATACTTTTACGAACCAGGAGGCCGAGTCCAGCGAAGCGCCTGTACCACATCAAGAAAACTCCGTCTGAGAATGCGAGTGTTACTTTCATGTATAACGGCTCAAAAAGCAAAACTACCGCGCTTCCTCACAATCGACTTTTCCACTTTATGGCAGCCTTCGCTGCGCGGGAAACTCTCGTCGCTGCATCCGCCGCAGGGGTGAGTAAAACGCCGTGAGGCTGTCGAAAAGTATATATGCTGTCGAGCGTGGAAAACAACAATGATGCTCTGGCGTGATCGTGGGGGCTATAGCGGCTGCATCGGCGTCCAGCGGCCAATTTTGTACCCCTGCGTTCGAGGAACGTGACGAGTGCACGCGATCATTTGTTCGATGGACCACGAAATGCTGCTGACCGCTTATCGAAGCTGTACGTATGGCTGCTAGCAGCTTAAACCCGCGCAAGTGAACGGCGTGTCAACCTTTGAATGAACCAATCGAGTATCGTCGCTAGTGAAACATTGACCTACCTGTGTGTGCATTGCAATGGGTGGGACCAAGGCAAGAATCGCTTTGTCAGACTACTCTTGATCACCATCAAGCAGCAATCGCAACAAGCACGAGGCTGAACAACTGGCCTTCGATGGACATGCAGTCGCATGCCTTATGCACAGCAACTTTGCTTGCGTGGCTCACCATTGCGTAAGCTCTCGTATGCAAACACTCCGATACTGCAGCTATGGGTCTAACGCTTGGAGAGAAGTGTTTGTCTAGCGACACGAACGACTACCCTTTTGCAGCCGCCACCTTTTTCCTCCTTGCACCTAAGGCACAAAATACAAAGCTACAATGTGTTGGATGGGTTTTATAAGAGTTACTATACACGCGGATACCAATGCCCATGACTGGTACCGGGCCAGTGGCTACCCGGCGTCCTGTGTATCACTCATTCGCTCCGACGTGTGCTGACAATGGTCCGCGACCGCGTTACGGGCTCGAAAGTGCGAGAATTATTTGCCCGGTCTGCACGTATCTGGTTCTATTACCTGCAACCTCAGTTTTACCATCGCAAGAATTTTTGGTCTTCTGTCGTGCAAGAATAATCATGTTAGACAGGTCCACGAGCTCGTATCCGGATGCTTGGTCAGGATCGTCATTCCGTGTTATGTGCCAGGATGGGACCGTAACATGCTTGCAAAGATGGGTTACATTCGCGCCCTAACATGCACCGGAGAATATGCGCATACAGTAACCAAGACCTCGAGCTGAACCAGCATCTGACTTGACATTGTGTTGATGTGCAGAAATGATGGAAAAAGTAGTGGCAAGGCGGGGACGGGCGAGGCGACATCTCTCCCCCATACTTGAATCCGGTACACTCGACTCCCCCTCGCACTGAGAACCGCACCTCTTCCCGTTACTTTCTCAATTTGCACCCTCCTCAGCAGTTCCTTTTGGCTGCTTCTTCGACCGAAAGTCTGACTGGTGTCTAAGGCCACTGCTGCCCTCGTCTCTCCTCTCTCTGTGTGTGCGTGCAATCGGGAGATCAATAGAGAGATCCATAGAAACAGAGAACAAGAGAGAGCGCGAGAGAGAGCGAGCGAGCGAGACGAAGCGCAGCGTGCGACAACCCGTCGCTCCCCTCCCAATCCACTCGTCGGAACTTGCGCCCAAAGGTCTCGAGCCCCACACCATTCGACGTTTCGATTGAATCGCCTCGCGCGGCTGCTCCAGCGCCCCGTCTGTCCCGTCCACTCCCGCCATGTTACTGTCGTCCATGGACCACGTCGGGTACTACGCCATGTCTAAGGACAGCAGTTTCCTCGAGTTCGACGCGTCTCCCGGCGATCGTGGCCACCACGAGGGCTACGCGCTTCCTGCAGACGACATGAGTGTCGTGTCGTACCTAAGCGAAGAGACCAGTCCCAAGAACGGCACCAAGTCGTCGCTGTACAAGACGGAGCTCTGCAAACGCTTCTCCGAGTTTGGCAACTGCCGCTACGGAGGTGCGATGCCACTTGCGTGTGTTTGTTGGCTGCTCCCTTGTTCCTTATGCTCGCAATAGAAGACTGACGCGCTTGTGCTGACTGCTGCTGCTGCTTGTGCTGCTGCTTTGTACCCATGTTCTCACACAGCCAAGTGCCAATTCGCACACGGAATCGCAGAGCTGCGCCACGTCGTGCGCCATCCCAAGTACAAAACGACAAAGTGCAAGTCGTACTGGGGATCCGGCCACTGTCCGTACGGTAGCCGCTGTCGCTTCATTCACGAGGAGACCGAGGGCTACGCGCAGTCGCCGTACAGCCCATTGGGCCACAACGGCAGCAGCATGTTCCTGCACGAGAAGGACCGGTTCGCCGGCTTGAGCGGCGGAGTCATGGACCCTCCTCAGCCGTCCGTTGACCTCAGCTACGGCGGTGGTCTCTATAGTGAGCCGCCCAGCCCGCATCACCTCCAGCACCTCCGTCCACATCACCATCACCAGCAGATGCCGTCCTACCCCAAGGACAATTTCTCGCTCCTGTCCTCGTTGGACAAGAGTTCGTGGGGAGTGCCGGGCATATCCCCGATCGCGAATTTCCACCCTAATTATGCTGGTGAGCACTATGGCAGTAGTCTCTCTCTGAAACAGCAGGGCTCGCTTGGTAGCATCGGCCTGCCACCTGCTCCGCAACGAGCCACTCCAGCGAGTCGGAACGCCGCAAGCGGCGCATCGTCATCGAGCTACCCGGACCTCCAGGATGCCATCGACGCATTGATGAAGTTCTCGCTGACCCAGGATGACGACGAGCCGATTCCAGACCCCGTCACCTCTCCTGAGATGACTCCGGTCCAGGCGGCTCGCGGGCGCTGCCTTTCCAGCGTCTCTTCGCCTACTCTCGTCTCCACTTCGACAGCGGCTACGACGAAGAATGCCGAGTTTTCTCTCCGGTCGGACGAGTTGTGGAAGGATTTCCCCACTGCTTCATCGGCGCCGTTTACTGGCGACGACATGCGAGCGCAGCCGTGGTCTACTGGCGTGTCGCTGGGTCTCGAGAGCAAGCCATTCGAAGGTGTTGCAGCTGCTGCCGGCGATACGAAGGACGTCTCTGGCAGCAGCAGTGACGACGAGGAGAGCCCCCGCCTGAGCGTGTTCGAGCGCTTCCATTAAGGCGTCGGAAGCGAAAAGGAGAGGTGGCGCTCTGTATCTATCTATGAGCCCGTGCGTCTGCGGCGTGCGCCCGTCCATCCTGTGTGGTCTTCGGGCCGCCGCTCGCTGCCCGCTCGTGTGTTTACCAGCCCCTATTTACTTTTCATATAAATATATTAATTGCTGCTGCGGTTGCAGCTGGCGCCAACTGCGTCCGCGATATGCGTGTGGGCTTTGCACCGCTGTGTTCGTTATGAAGCTGAACCTCACAGAGTTCTTCCCGCTCACCCGCAAGGACGTTGGCCTGCCGCCTTGTGAATGCCGCGGCGATGCCAACCTGTTTTGTAGGGCGTTTCTTGATAAGGTGTCCTGTGAGCAACGCAGTCAGTGCAGCAGAACCCGAGTGAGGGGCTACGACATCGCGGTGTCATCTATACACGCACCTGCTGATGGCTTGCCAGCTACAGAAGAAGACTCCATAGCAGCTTCAGTTGTGCCAGCATTGAAGTAAATATAGGTAACGCAGCAGGCCTGACGGGGACACGTGCCCCCTTCCGGCGCGCACCAGCTGAGGCAGGATGCGGCCTGAGACTCGGATTGGCATCGCCGCTTCAAACGCATCTGAGGAATTGACTTACGTGGCGAAAGCTTACCTGTCGCCGCAGTCACTACCTCCTGCATCACGCAACTCGACAGTCAGTCAAAGGCATTCAAAGAGTGCGTTTTTCTCCTCACGTTAAAGCTACCACTTCCAACCCACAACTCCAGCTTGTCCGCCCGCATCTACGCTTTCGCTCTGTATCGTCGCTTCCGCTGACCACCGCAGCGAAAACAACGCCTCAAAGTACCCGACATACTTTCTACAGCTCCTCGTGCTCGGCGCCTTCCTCCTTCTTCGCCTCGGCGTCCTTCTCCTTGTCATCCTTCGCAGTCTCGCTCACGCCATACTCTTCCCCGTCCAGCTCAAACTTCTGGGCGTTCGACTTCAGGAACTCAGTAAAGCCATCCACTTCGCGCGCACCTTCGTACACGATCGGGTTTTGCTTGTTTTTCGCAGGGAAGAAAATGAGCGTCGGGAAGCCTTGCACGTCCACACCGGGGTGGTCAACCTCGTTGGCAGACGCATCCATCTTGGCAATGACAATGCTGTCCACGCTCGAAAACGCCTCGGCCAGCTCCTCGTACTTGGGCGCAAGAGCCTTGCAGTGACCACACCACGGAGCGTAAAACTCAAGCAGCACGTCCTTCTCGTTGTTGATCACGCGCTCCTTGAAGTCCGTGCCCACAATCACCTTCACAGCCTCGTCGCTGTCGTCCTCCGGTTTCGCAGACTTGAGCTGCGGCGTAAGCTTGCCTTCAAAGTACTGGTTCGCGAACACAATCAGCTCGGCACCAAGGTCGCCGCTCACTTGTGCCACGAGGTCGTCCGCCTTGTGCTCAAACCCGTACTTCTTCACCGACCCGCCCATGTTGACCAGCATCACCGCCGGCAAATCGTCACTCGTCAGGCCAAAGTAGTCGATGATGCGCTCCTCCGTGCTCGGCATCATGATGTGCAGCAGTTTGCCCTTGTTCACTTGCGCCGACTTCTTCAGCGCAGCCTCAAACGCACCCACGTAGTCCTTCGACGCGTCCGCAAACACTATCATGTGCTCCTTCAAGTCGCCACCAAAGATCATGGGCGCCTTGTCCTGCGTGAACGTAATCACTAGCGGCAGACTGTTGGCCTTGACAAACGCTGCCAGCGCCTCCTTCTCCCACTCGCCGTCGTACACCACTTTGCCCTCGTCAAACTTCTTGAACAGCACCACACTGTTCTGCGCTTTCGCGTCGTCGGCCACGTCCAAGTGCGTCGACGCCACGTACACGGCCAAGTCGTCGGCGTCGGCCAGTTTCTCCAGCATCGCGCGCGCGTCGCCTTCGACAGCGTCCACGACAGCAAACACGACCACGTCGTTCGCCTCCTTGATCTTCTCGAGCTGGGCAGCCGTCTCGACGATCGCGACGGCCGGTCCCGACTTGCGCACGACCCACTTCTCAATCTCCGCCGCCGTGCGGCCGCCGTCGTAGTCGCGCATCGCGTCCACGTCGCCCTTGAAGAACTTGAGCGTGGGGAAGCCCTGGATCCCAAACTGCTCGGCCAGTTGGGTCTGCACCGTCGCGTCGACTTTGGCCAGACGCACGGGCAGGTCCTTCTCCTTGAGGCTCGTGGCGGCGGCCGCGTACTCGGGCGCCAGCTGCTTGCAGTGGCCGCACCAGGGCGCGTAGAACTCCACGAGCAGCGCGTCGTGCCCCGTCACGGCGTCGGCAAAGTCGCTGTCGGTGAGCACGAGCACGTTGTCCTCTTCTTGGAACGCGGCGGCAGTGCCCGTGGCGAGCGCCAGCGCAGGCAGCAGCGTCAGCGCGAGGTGCTTGAACGTCATGATGGCGGGGGCGGGGACGTGGATGGACGAAAAAAGTGCTTTTTGGGCCGGGTAGGCGAGAGGGATGAAATTCCAAAATGGGTGTTGCGGGCCGCCAAAGCGGATCAGATCAAGAAGCGAGTGCCACGTGTGGGTGACGCGTCCAGCCAAAGTGACCAGATAAAAAGCGAGTGCCACGTGGTGGTGCGCGATTCGACACGACGGATAGCGTCAGTTCACCCGTTTTAATGACGTCCGTGAAAGACCATACGTGGACAATCGAGTTGGTGCAATTTTGTGCTAAGTTTGTACAAGGGCGGGACTGAAGTGGGTTGGTCCGGGAGAAGGCAAGCTCGACTGTTACCGTTGCTAGATGATAGACGTGCCTGTTGTGGCACAGCCGAACGAGCGATCGCAGAGCGATGGGATGAGGGATACCGTCGATCAATTGTACGGCAAATTACAGAGAGCATCGTCAAAACGAGCAGCACGCGTGATGTAAGGCCTGGAGACATGTGGACAAGTGAGTGGGGGCATAAAGGATTCGAAAATAGTCCGCATCGCAAATAGCCCTGAGCGAGTTGGTGGTGTACGATGGCAAGAAACACGTACTTCTAATGGGTTCTCACGACATCAGTATGGCTCTGTGAAATAGCGGTATCGATTGTTATCGGAAACTGGACACCCGTCCACATCACTGATGGGACGACCGCGGGACGCCAGTCACGGGAAGCGAGGTCAAGGTAAGTGCCAACGACAGATAGATGATGCATGGCAAGGCATGGTAAGGCCAAACGTTTATGAAAGCCAACGCAGTAAATGATGATGCTGCTTTCGAAGAGCTGCAAGTTCAAGCGAAGGAAATCAATCATTTTCACGCATGGAGTTGGACAGGTAGCGGAAAATCGCACTTCCGCGAGCAATCACCTGTACTGTATGGAATCGCCGTCGATCTGGTCTAGGCCGCTATCGTTCTTGCAGCTGAACCAGCGCTCGTATGTCATGCACAGGTATGCTTGTTGTTACAAAGGTTTTGTAACGTAGCAACGGAAATTATCTCGAGGATTTCCATTTACTTTGAAGCAATTTCACACTGTCGTAAAATACCGTAGGTTTTTCTATAAAATTCTTCGATCACTAATAAACCCTGCTTGACACCTTAAGGATCACTTACAGCACGACGTCAACCATTAACTTGAGATACCACTTAAAGTCGACAACAATCTGATACCCGCTGCACGAGACCACTCGCGAACCAGCATCGGCAGCGCGCTAGAAGATGGATAGAAAACGGCTCATCGCGCCGTCGCAACATAACGCTGCGATTGATAGCAAAACACAATCGATGGGAGGGTTTTCTAGACAGGTATTGATGATAATTACAGTTTCTCAATATAACTCACCATCAACAACACCAAACGCAAACTGATCCAATGAACATCGACAAGATGCTATATTCAAATGCCATATGTACATGAACTTGCAGCTACAAAAATGTTACCACAACTCATATGTGCTGCACGGCTGAAGGTAAACGACCTATATTTTCTCCTTCGCATTCTTGAAGAGGGCGGATTTGTACTTAGGTAAAGCTGACATCTTCTTCGCAAGAGTACTTTCAAGTGTCGCGCCTTTACCTGAGAGCTCATCGCAAAATATACGATACTTCTCGATGACATGGACCAACATCGCCTCCGTCCTTTCGTTGTCACCAAGGACGTAGGGTGGCGAGTGTCCGGCAAGGTTACGTGTCATCATGGTACGAACGTCATTGGGCTCATATGAGCCCATGTACCAATTCGCATACTGAATAGACTCCAGATCCTTGCCTATCAATCGCACTTCAAGGTTTTCCGACATCGTCGCATATTCGATGATGAGCGCCGCGTATTTCGTGTGGAAGTAATGGTAGAGCATTTCATATACGCGGTCATGAAAATGACCACCCGACGCGATATAGCGGACAAACCTGCTAAATTCGTTTGACAGGAGATACGCTTCGATTTGCGCGATGTTACGATCATGCTGATCCACGAGAGTCATTCCGTTGAGATGCAGCGCTTCGAATGCATCGTAAAGCGACGAATGCTGTGCGAGGTCATCAAACTTTTCCACAAGTTGACTGGATGACGACGGACGACCCCACATTTTCCCGAATAAGCCCCTTTGCTCTTCCATGTCTTCAGACTTGGGCACGTCGTCTCTCAGCTGTCTCACAACAGTGCTGTCCTCATCCATGGACAAGCCAGGCGCCAGCGCCGTCAATGTCCCAAAAGCCGAGGCAAGAGTAGGCTTTGTGAGCAGCGCGCCACCAGCGAGGAGTGCGAAAAACAGAACGACATTCTTCATTTCTGGCAGGCCACCGTTGCTCGAGGTATGTTGTGGGAGAGAATCTCGTAACGAAAAGTGAGCAGTGTGTGACTCCTAGAACTCAGGGCGACGGTCCAAACAGCAGGTGCTCTTTACGCCGAGGATTCATTGGACCAGAGATTCCTAGCGCAATTACTTCGCTTTAGTAAGCAGCCACGGTTATATTGAACCCGGCTCACGACGCGTTTTATTCTCCTCACCTGCAACGCTAGGGATTGTACGTCGCTGATTAACCGGTTACGTTGCGTTGGACACACCACTGAGAATAGTCTCTCGATATGTTTATCAATAGGAACTTATCTGTTTATAGGGGCTGACACGTGTCAGCCACCGAATTAAAATCCCCCAAAAGCACTAACTTAGGATTATAAGAATTATATTAGGGATGTTCACATTGAATTGCTTATTCTGATACAAAGCGATACAGAGTTTGGTTCACGTTTAATCTGATAGCGCTCCCTGCCTTCCTAAGACTTGCACTCCGACCGCTAAGAGTAAATGAACTTGTTACAAGTCATAAAATTTCATTATTAAGTGAAGTGTGCATTACTCATTCACTTTTATTTAAACAAGGTCTAAAATGGCCAACGAGCTTGTGTGACTCTCCAACTCTAAATTTACTTCGTTTCTTGGAACCAAGAAGACTTTGGTTCGTTAAATTACTCCGCTGAATCAAGTGGCTCTTTACGCTCAGGCCTTCTTCTGACTTAAATACCGACCCCGGCGGCCGAGTATATAAGCACTGGCGCCGGTACCGGGAGGGACGTGAATAATACCCGCGGAGGGGCGGTACGATTACACATCGCCGGAGAGTGGCTTACAAAGCCGGATATAGTGGATCGTACGCGTACCCAAATACACCTCAAACCTTCTCTCTTTTATCCCAACTCAAGGGAAAGATAGCTCCGCTACATGCGTTGTTATATTCATAATTTGATATGACGGGTGCATTGATACCCGGCTGTTCTTGAAGTCAGCGGACACCCATGTAGTGAAGTGGTGATCGCTCTTTTGAGGAGTCGATCTCAACCCTCCACTGGCGCCCGGACAACCGACTAACGGAGGGGGCCTCCGATTCCGTCCTGTATACTTTGCGGACCTTGTGTACCCGTCGGTGGGGCGGGTTGCACTCTTCCAGGTGGACCCGAGTCAATACCAAGCTTGACTATGGTGGGGATTGGTGTTGTCGCGTGGAAATCTTCACACGATAACGGGTGTACTTGTAAGGCGCTCGGTATGAGCCGCCTTAATCTCCACAGTATCGCCTTGTCCAAAGTAGGCGCTTAGTCCGCGAGCCTTTTGACCACTTGAGCCGTCTCGCGATTTTGCACCCTTCGCCTTTACTTGTCTGCTGCGTCCGATCGCAGTTGAAATTTTCGTTGAGAGTCCTCAATCCCTGGCCAAACAATCCAGGAATATCTCTTGACTTTAAGTATTCAACTTCTTTTGAAGCCGGGTGGCCAATAGTCTAACCCGGAAGAGAAGTCGAAACGTGTACTTAGAAGCAAATTGAACTCTGTTTAATGTTAGCCGATCAAGCCCAAAACCACTAGCACATTACTAGCCCTATCTGTATCGACTGACAGAGGTAAATGAGGAGTCGTATGAAAATAAAGAATATGAGAAATATGTTCGACACACAGTGACTCAATCAAATCCCGATACTGTAGCTTCATCAAATGCGGATGGCATCGACCCAACAACCGTTCAAAATGAACGGAGAGAACGGATACCGACTGCACAAGAAGAAGAGACGAAGTAGGCAGATCTCAAGACGAATCAACACATCGTCAAGCTAGCGAGGCTAAGAAGGTCGCTGATCGATTCGTGTATAGTATGGGCTGCTTCTCTACTACTTTTTGACGACGCCGAGAATTAGGAGAGGCACAAGTGGACGACATAAAATAGCGACTTGTATTTCCAACGACACTAGTCGACTTAATTCTGCTAAATTGTCATGACTCGATAGAAGACGGCCACCAAGAAATTGTGCGGACATATCACAAATATAGACTGATTATTACTGGATATGGTTGTTTGCAGATGTGCCAAGACATGTACATGCGTGCGAGGATTTCAGTACAAGCAAGATCAAGCAAGCATTATGGGATATTCGCCGAGGAATATAGTATACGAGCGACCATTTCAGGTGGTGTCAATGGACTCCGTAATTCCACTCCCGAAGACTCGACGAGGAAATACAGCGCTGTTACTGTTCCAATATCATTTTACTGGATTTATGATAGCTGATCCATGAATGATTCGTCGGCATCGGAGGTAGCGAAAGCGTTTGAAGCGAAATATTTTTCGTCACTTCGGTGCCCCCAGCCTCATTCGTCACGACGGAGATCCCAGGTTCATGATCGAGGTTTTTTAAACGTTTGCTGAATCTATGCAAGCTAAGTAAAAAACCGCTTTGGTTATAATGCACAAGAAAACGGGCAACAAGAACGAATTGTGAAGACAATAATATAGACGGTGCGGGTGTATGGGGAAGATCCACTACAAGTAGATTGGGATGAAATTGCAGAAAAATTGGCTCATGCCATTAATGCCTCAAGAGACTCAACGAGAAATTAAACTCCGTTCTATTTGGTACACTGGTGTGAAGCCCACTTAACACTGAAGGCGATGACAGAGTCAATACGATTCGCCAAGCCATGGAACCATAGGGTGATGGACTCGACAAATCCAGTCTTTTGGCGTCGCGAGCATAACAGGCAGAAAGAAGTAGCACTAAGACTGGCAAAATAATATTAATTGAGAGAGAAAGCAATAAGAGCGCATGAACGTAACGAGATACTAAGTAAAGCCGCCGCGATCATTTCCTTGATCGCAACGTCTTCGGGCTTCACGATGCCCTTGGAGCTCGTGTCACGTACGAACTCCATCTTCACGTCCACAAGCTTCAGCGCACTGGACGTTGCTCAATTATCAACCTTTTTAAACGCCGCTTGATTGTTCCACTATAATTCTCATCGGAAACGCCACACTCACGTTTATCTCTTCCAGCAGGCACTTTACTCCCAGAAGCTTCGGCCCAATGTGGCAACCATGCACTCCATAATACTGTACAATTATATGCAGATCACGTGACTACCCAACCCCTCCTACCTTATGTCCTCTACAACCTATTTGTTTTCGTCCGCCCACTTGTATTAGCTAAGAGGGGTTCTGCTGTACTTTTGCAACAAACTCGCCCGTCTCAAAAGTCGCGCTTGCGTCACTACTGACACACGCCGTCGCCAATCCACCACTCGACAAAATACGTATAGTGTAAGAGGGTAGTAGTGCACTGAGCGACGAACAGAGTCAACGAACGCTGTACAGTATACTGAGAAAGATGAGGAAGCACCAGGAGGTCAATCTACTCGAGCGGGGGACAACATAGTCCAAAACACGACGACAATGAGGAAGTCTAATATCGCGAAAATGAAGGAGGCCAAGTGTGACTATTCATGGAACGGGTGAAGACTGGACTAAAAACTAAGCTAGCCCACAGGTGACATGGTCATTTCCAAATCAAGAAACAGGTTAAAGAGTTCGCGTTTGAATTTTAGTTGCCAGATAGAAGCGATATAAATTCTTCCCGGTTGTCCATACGTCGCGCCTGAGAAAAGTTACAGAACAAGGGGCACGTTGAACGACGATGTTGGTGCAAATACTAGGAGAGACAGGTCGACTCGACTTCGACGAAGAATTACTGCCGGAAGATAGCTGGATGCCCGACAAGTCCAGTGGTAGAAACGAGGTAGAAGCCGTACTCGACAATGACACGACAAGGTCAACAACTACTGAAAGAATCCAGCAACAGTTCCTAGTAAAATGGGTGGGATACGATGAGCCCACGTGGGAACCATTGGCCAACTTGTACTGTAGAGGTTTATTGTTCGACTACTTAAGGCTTAAGAAAAGGAAGAATCGTCTGCAAATGGTGCAAGTCGCAGACGAACGGTAGAAACTTCATATCACGCGTACTTTCATTTTGTGAAGACTAGCAGGAAAAAAGAGAAGGGAAGTTAATGCGTCAAGATGTATTGATGCAGGGGGACAAAGATTAATTGATCAAAGAGATTAAGGCACGAAGCCAAAACAGAGGCGACTAAGTGTCAGCGACGGACGATCAGGAATCACCAGGATACGGCGTAGAGACACAGTCAGAAGTGTCGACAATGATCTGCATACCATCGCGATTAGTCGGGACCGGGAGCAGAGGGATCTACAACCAGAGGAGGAGCTTTGTCTGTGTCGACATCCTTAGCGATTAGAAACTCCACTTCGCTTTCAGACGTACCAGCTGGAGCGAATACAGCAAACTCTGGATTGCAAGGACGAAAACACGTGTTATGAGGGTGCTCCGATGAGCAAGTCAGCCACCACACACGCCAGGGTTCAACTAGGTCAAGCGTTTAAAGTTCGTTGACCGAGTCGACACCCTCGGGCAACCATGCATTAATCACGATCGGGTATACAGTCACTGACGGCAAAGAACAGTTGGGGTCAAGCAAGGGTGTGGGTCCACGAGAAGATATTGCAGACGCCGCATCTTCCAAGACACTGCTCAAATTCTTCGCACAATATCCACCCGACGTTTGTCAAGTGGCAGCATACTCAGCCCAATCTGCATAATTTAGGGAAAAGTATTTAGTCGAGCAAGAAAGATTTTCATCGGGGTGCATGCCCATCAGAATACTAGACTCCAAGATCTAATGCGTACGCTCCCACAAATCCACAAATTGTTTTGAGCGAGCATCGGTACAGGCAGACAGCTCTAAATCACGATTATCTTCGCTGTACTATAATTACGCGTCAGGCGCCAATTCCAGAAAAGGATTTGATTGAGAATAACAGCGAGAACGGTGGAGCCGATATTGAGCTTCACCGCGCTTGAATTCACGCATCCATAGAGGTTTCTGTGGAAATAACGCCAGAGTGCGCTGGCACAAATGCGACGGATCATACACGCCAGCAAACGCGAC